AGTCTCGCTGCCCAGGCGGGTCTCGAACCCGCAGGCTCAGGCAATCCACTCACCTCAGTGTGCCAAAAGCGGGGGATTGCAGGCTGAGCCACCGAGCCCAGCTTGTACTGACAAATTTTTAGGATGTCTCATTTATTTTGAGAGTTGGCCTATTAATATTAAACACATCTATATCTAACAAATATTAGAATATGGTTTTTAAAAAACTGCTGCATATTCATGATACCACTGCCTAGAAAAGACCTTTTATTTCCAACAGTCAGTAGCACAGGTGAGTAAATAGATTTAATCCTATTAAATACAAGGCAACACTCAGACTTGGAAAAACTTCCAAGGAAAACCTTCAAGTTTACATCTCCTTTTAAACTAGTCTTAAGAGACACCATAGAGACATGTCAAACCTCTGTCTGCTATTACATTTAACCCAAATGGAATTCTCACCATCATATTTGGCAATTTCATCATCGGTGTCATCTTTCTTGGCTTTGGATAAAATCCACCTGTAATTAAGACAAACCCCAAAATTAAGATGAAAATGACAGTTGACCTGTGAAGAAAAACAATGTAAATGCTCATGAAGGCAGGACTTATCCTGCTTTTCCTAGCCTACATAACCATTCTACTTCCAACTTAAATCTGTCACAAGTAATAATAATGCATTACACGCAACTCACAAACCTGAAAGAAAAAGGACAATCCCATGAGATAATCCCACTTTCATTTATTTATTTATTTTTTGAGTTGGAGTCTCACTCTGTCACCCAGACTGGAGTGCAGTGGCCGCTCCTGGCCACCGGAGCCTCGACCTGCTGTGCTCCAGCGATCCTTCCACCTCAGCCTTCCAAGTAGCCAGAATTATAGGTATGCGCTACCACACCTGGCTGATTTTTTAAAAATTTATTGTAGAGATGAGGTCTCGCTGCCCAGGCGGGTCTCGAACCCACGGGCTCAGGCAATCCACTCACCTCAGCCTCCCAAAGGCGCGGGATTACAGGCTGAGCCACCGAGCCCGGTTTCCACTTTTATTTTTAACTCAAGAGAAAAATTTTCTCTCAACCAAAGAGCAAAAGACAGAATGGAATAGGGGAGGGAAAGGAGTGGAAGGAAAAATCACAAGTTGCCAAAGACTGTTTTCCTAAATTGACGTGAACACCACAGACACAGAAGTCAGACATTTCACTAGGTAAGGTGCTACCCATAAGAAATCCACTACTCCATATTACTAAAATACTGCTTGCCTCTAAGATTTTTTCCCATAGAAAATACTTACCCTGACAGAGTTCCTCTGTCAAAGGAATCAGCAAAAAACACTTCCCCTGTTGGAACTGGAGCTTTGTAGGTGACCTGGGTTAAATATATAAATGAATTAAAAATGGATATTTTCAGTAACATGACTTTTTTCAACTGTCACAAAGTCTTCATAGCTGGTCTTTGGTGAAACATAACAAAGGCTGCCAGAAAGGGATCAGTATTTACTCAAAATAAAAATGAAAAGGATCTAAATTTTAGCTTCACAATTTTTTTTCTTTTTTAGAGATGAGGGTCTCACTATGTTCAGGCTGGTATCAAATTCCTGTGCTCAAGCGATCCCCCTGCCTCAGTCTCCCGAGTAGCTGGGACTACATGCCACCACACCCAGCTATCTTTATAATTTTATTATCTCCAGAGGCAAAAGGAATCCATTCAAAGTCCACTCAAACCTTTGGAGACGGAGGAGGAGTGCTGGTGTCTGGCTTTGAGTCTTCCACCTCCTCAATGACATCGTCAAGGTCATCCTCAACGTCAATCACATCATCGTCATGTCCATCATGAGCCTGAGTGACAGCAGTTCCCAGGACCAGTAATATGCACAGGAACCACTTCCCTTCCATGATCTGTTTGTAAAAGAGGAACAGGAGTTACATGCATCCTGTCTTTTTTTTTTTTTTTGAGTTGGAGTCTCACTCTGTCACCTAGACTGGAGTGCAGTGGAACACTCCCGGCTACCACAACCTTGACCTGCTGGGCTCCGGCGATCGTTCCGCCTCAGCCTTCCAAGTAGCTGGAACTACAGGCGTGCGCTATCACGCCCAGCTAATTTTTATTATTGAGGTCTCGCCAAGTTGCCCAGACGGGTCTCGAACTCGCGGGCTCAGGCAATCCACTCACCTCAGCCTCCCAAGGCACGGGATTACAGGTTGAGCCACCCAGCCCAGCTAATGCATCCTGTCTAAAACCTCCTAAAGGTTACTAACTTATCTCTTGTTTAAACATCATAGAGCTAAAAGGAACTTTACTATGAGCATTTCATTTTATAGGTAAGGAAAGTGAGCCCAGAGAGATTCAGAGACTAAAAGACACAATTTCAGGAAAATTTCAAAATAAACTCTAAACATACACAACTGTTCCCATGTAGAATACCACATTGGCTACACAGATCTAGAGTACTCAAATACAATTTCCAACCAACCTCTTGCATTTGAAAAGTGCTTTAAATGGACTGATTAAAACATTACAATGGGCTGGGCTTGGTGGCTCAGCCTGCCATCCCAGCACTTCAGGTGGCTGAAGCGAGTAGACTGCCTGAGCCTGCAGGTTTGAGACCCACCTGGGCAACTTGGCGAGACCTCGACTCTACGATTAAAAAAAAAAATAGCCAGGCATGGTAGCATGTGCCTGTAGTTCCAGCTACTTGGAAGGCTGGGGCAAAAGGACCGCCGGAGCCCAGCAGGTCGATGCTGGGGTGGTCATGAGTGTGCATGCCACTGTACTCCAGCCTGGACAAAGGAGTAAGACTCTAACTCGAAAAAAACCAAAAACCAAAAAATATTACAATGAAACAGTAACAGGTGACAGATAACTCATCTCATATGAAAGACTGAATAGGAATACAGAAGTTGTTCAAAGATCATCCAGATTAGACATTTTCTTTTCTTTTCTTTCACTCTTTCACTCAGGCTGAAGTGCAGTGGAACAACCACAGCTCACTGTAACCCCGCACTCCCAGGCTCAAGCGATCTCTCACCTCAGTCTCCTGAGTAGCTGGGACCATACAAACAACCATGCCTGGTCTAACATGTTTTTTAATCAGTGTTTTAAGATTAAATAACAAAAATATTAAATCAAGAACCAACTACTTTTATCTCTTATTTTCTAACTATTTAAATATCATGAGTAAAGCAGGGCTCGGTGGCTCAGCCTGTAATCCTGCGTTTTGGGAGGCTGAGGTGAGTGGATTGCCCAAGCCTGCGGGTTCGAGACCCGCCTGGGCACCTTAGCAAAACCTCATCTCTACAATAAATCAAAGACTAGCCAGGCGTGGTAGTGCGCGCCTGTAATTCCAGCTACTTGGAAGGGTGAGGCAGAAGGATCGCCAGAGCCCAGCAGCTTGAAGATGTAGTGGCCGTAAGCATGACACTGCATTCCAGTCTGAGCAACAGAGTGAGACTCTGACTTAAACATAAAAAAATAAAAAAACTGAGCAGGGCTCGGTGGCTCAGCCTGTAATCCCGTGCCTTTGGGAGGCTGAGGTGAGTGGATTGCCTGAGCCCGCGGGTTCGAGACCCGCCTGGGCAGCAAGACTTCATCTCTACAATAAATAAAAAAAAAATCAGCCGGGCATGGTAGCGCATGCCTGTAATTCTGGCTACTCGGAAGACTGAGGCGGAAGGATCGGCCACTGCACTCCAGTCTGAGCGACAGAGTGAGACTCCAACTCAAAATAAATAAATAAATAAATAAACAAACAAACAAACTGAAACAGAGCACCATGGAGGCACACAATTATTAGGCAGTAGCAACAGTTTAGTAGGGTTTCGTTTTCAGTCCTGAAAAGGCAGAGGCAAGAAGATGGGGAAAATAGTAAGTAGAAGATATATGCCTAGAAGTACACACACACACACACACACACACACGCACACACACAGACCCCCCCATCCTCTCTATGGGGAGTCACCCAATTAATCCGAAGCCTTGTCCTTTGTTACCAACATCAGAACACTGACTGGCACCTTGTATTGCTATGGCCTCCAGTTCCTTCCTCTTTCAAGCCACCCCCACCGTAATCACAGACTCCTCACATAAAAGCTCTTTCACAAGCCCATATTCGCGAACATCTCTAAGTCCTCTCGCTCACAGTCAACCTCTCCCCCTGCAGCTGCCCTGCAAGACGTTTCCCCCAAGCACCCTCCGGGAAGACGCCACATCCCCCTCACACGCACCACTGACTCATCGTCTTTATCTCCCCCACTCCCTCAACATGAAGCTAACTGCCAAGTGTGCAAGAACCACCCTCCTCCTAATGGCCTCCTATGACAAGTTCTAGAGATCCCATTCACCTCTCTCCTACATTTCCACACCCACTTCTGCCCACCAGGTCTCCTTCCTCCTGGGCTGACTGTGGGTCCTTTCCATGCCCTGAAATAAGCCATGAGCCTAAGGTTTGAGCTTAAAAAACAGCAACAAGCCGGGCTCGGTGGTTCAGCCTGTAATCCCGCACCTTGGGAGGCTGAGGTGAGTGGACTGCCTGAGCCCACGGGTTCGAGACCCGCCTGGAAAACTTGGTGAGACCTCATCTCTACAATAAATTAAAAAATTAGCCGGGCGTGGTAGCGCACGCCTGTAGTTCCAGCTACTTGGAAGGCTCAGGCGGAAGGATCACCGGAACCGAGCAGGTCGAGGCTGCGGTGGACGGGAGCGGTCACTGCACTCCAGCCTGGGGGACAGAGTGAGACTCCAACTCAAAAAAAAAACAAAAAAATCTGATGGCAATTCTAATATTTAGGCATCTTGGGGCTGTATTCACAAAATGAAGGCAGGCAAAATTCAGCTGGGCTCGGTGGCTCAGCCTGTAATCCCGCACCTTTGGGAGGCTGAGGTGAGTGGATTGCCTGAGTCTGCGGGATCGAGACCTGCCTGGGCAACTTGGCGAGACCTCATCTCTACAATAAATCAAAAAAATTAGCCGGGCTTGGTAGCACGTGCTGTAATTCCGGCTACTCGGAAGGCTGAGACAGAAGGATCGCCAGAGCCCAGCAGGTCAAGGCTGCGGTGGCCAGGAGCGGCCACTGCACTCCAGTCTGGGCGACAGAGTGAGACTCCAACTCAAACAAACAAACAAACAAAAAAAAACAGCAACAAAAGAAAACAAGGTAAGGACATCATAACAACGCTGAAGTTTAAATACTTTTCAAAAATATTCTTCCAAACAATCATTTTTTAAAGCCATAAGAAGGCATCCATATCCCAGCATCTGCATGTGTGCAGAGAGTAGTGTACAGGCCTCTTCTCTGACTGAGACAGAAGTGTCCAACTGCAGAGGTGTCGTGGGGGCAGGAGCCCTAAGACTAACAAGATATGGTTCCCTGGGCACCCCTTTAGCAGTTGCCATATTCTTAGACTACACGTGTCCATCCTTGCGGCTTTCCAGGAGCAATTTTATTTGTCTTGTGAAATGTACATTATACATGTACCCACTGAGCGCTACATGTTTTTAAAAACATATTACTGCAGAATGCCTCTGAAAATTCAATACAATTGCTAAATTTGAAGAAAAAGTTCTTTTGAAGTTTTTACTAAAAGTCTAATTAAGTCATAGCATATCACAATATTCACCAAGCATTCAACAAGCGGAGAACCTGAAAACCTAGTGTCCTGTTGATGGGCCTGGACAGCTCCATATATCCTGCTATCCCACCTCCAGGTGGGATCGCTTAAGGCCAGGAGTTCACCAATAAGCAAAAGCAAAGTCTCAAGAGGCATCTGCACATGCATGATCTCAGCAGCCAAGAGGCAGAAGCAATGGGTGATGGATAAACAAAATGCGGTCTACACGTGCAGGGGAGTACCACTCAACCTTAAGGGGAAGGGAATCCTGTCACATGCTCAAACAGGACTGAACCTGGATGACATTATGGGAAGTAAATAAACCAGACACAAAAGGACAAATACTGTAAGATTCCACTTACGTAAATACCAGGTATCTAAAGCAGCCAAGTTCACAGATACAGAAAGTAGTACTGATTACCAGGGGCTGGGGGGAAGGGCTTGTAAGGGAGAGTTGTTTGTTGGCAAGTTGTTTAACGGGTACAGTGTTTCTATTCTGTAAGAGGAAGAGGTTCCCAAGATGTTTCAAAACAATGTAAATATGCTTAACACTACTGAACTATACATTTAAAAATATTAAGATGGTAAGTTGTGTATGTACCGTTTACCATAAATTTTTTAAAAGTTTAAAAAAGAAAAAGAAAAGGAGTAAGAGAGGGAAAGAAAGAAAGCAGAGTTTAAACTGGGCTCGGTGGCTCAGCCTGTAATCCCGCTCATTGGGAGGCTGAGGTGAATGGACTGCCCAAGCCCGCGGGTTCGAGATCCTCCTGGGCAACTTGGTGAGACCTCATCTCTACAATAAATCAAAAACTTAGCCGGGCATGGTAGCGCGCGCCTTGTAGTTCCAGCTAC